AGAAACTGGGACTACAGGCGCCTGCCACAACACCCGGCTATTTTTTGGTTGCAGCTATCATTGTTGTTTAGCGGGCCCAGGTTGGATTCAAACCCACCACCTTAGGTGTATGTGGCTGGCACCTTAGCCACTTGAGACACAGGTGCCAAGCCCCTGTTTCTTCTTTAATAAAATCTAAGACAAAGAAGTATGGTTCTTAGGTCATTAACAAAACCCTTGGCACTTGATTTGGAAGCTGCGGTGGTAGAGGAAAACAAAAAGGAAAGCAGACTTTTTTTCTTTTGAGACAGAACCTCAAGCTGTCCCCCTGGGTAGAGAGCCGTGACATCACAGCTCACAGCAACCTCCAACTCCTGGGCTCAAGCAAGTCTCCTGCTTCAGCCTCCCAAGTAGCTGGGACCACAGGCGCCCGCCACAACGCCTGGCTATTTTTTGGTTGTAGCCGTTGTTGTTGGTGGGCCTGGGCTAGATTCAAACCCTCCACCTTAGGTGTATGTGGCTGGCACCTTAGCCACTTGGGCCACAGGCGCTGAGCCAGGAAAGCAGACTTTGAAGAAGATCTTCATTTTGTCCTTAAAACAATAATGGAGATCTGTTGATTGTTCTAAAGAATTAGTGTAATGTAAGCATTTCTTCATTTTTCCGTTTTAAGAGACAGGGTGTCGCTTTGTCTTCCAGGCTGCTGGAGTATAGTGACACAATCATAGCTCACAGGCAAGCTCACTGTAGCATAGCACTCCTGAACTCAGGCAATCCTCTTGTCTCAGCCCTTAGAGCATCTAAGATGATGGGTACTTGCTGCCACACCAGCTAGATTTTTTATTTTTTTGTTGCCCCTGCTGATCTGGAATTTCTGGCCTTAAGCCATCCTCTGATCCTCTGATCTTCTGATCTTCTGAACTCAGCCTCCTGCATTTCTGGGACTACCTGAGCCCCCACACCCAGCCTGCTTCAGTTCTTCACTATTCTCTTTTGTCCTTAGTTTTAATATTTTAATGACTATCCAAAGTGTTTTACTGGCTTAAGATTTAAGAAATGGGCTCAGCGCCTGTGACACAAGTGGCTAAGGCGCCAGCCACATACTAAGGTGGCGGGTTCGAATCCAACCCAGACCCGCCAAACAACAATGATGGCTGCAACCAAAAAAAAATAGCTGGGCGTTGTGGTGAGCGCTTGTGGTCCCAGCTCCTTGGGAGGCAGCAGCAGGAGACTTGCTTGAGCCCAGGAGTTGGAGGTTGCTGTGAGCTGTGATGCCACAGCACTCTACCCAGGGGCTCAGCTTGAGGCTCTGTCTCAAAAAAATTAAAAAAATTAAAAAAAAAGATTTAAGAAATGAATATATCACTGTATATGCTTGTGATAAGCACATTAAAATGTTTTTGTATACTTCTTGTCCCACTTCTAAAACCGATATAGAGGTTGCCATTTCCCATTTCTGATGTTTGAAGGAAAACATGGTAGGCAGTTGCTCTTTGGAAATTTCAAGACTAAATCCTAAAGTCATCTGTTTGTAGGTATCTAGGATTGGACAATGTATGTGTAAAATTCATTTACTTAGTGCCTTGGTTTCTTATTTTGACAGCTTTATGGAAGGATGACTAACCTCCCATAAAAGGGAGAAGAAGCTATTTGGTGAAATTTTATAGTGAATACATTTCTCTGTGAATCTGCTGACTTACGGAATATATAGGTCTTAATTTCAGAAACAGTTTGGGTTGTATATGAAACTTTCAGGTTGATCTGAAACTGAAAAGTTCAGTTTTTAGAACATAAACTTTCATGGGTCAAACACCGGACCTTTAAAAGTGGTATTGAAGCACCTTAGTAGACTATTATACATATAATAATAATTAAAATAGTCTAACTCAGAGATCTCCAAACTTTTTCCATAAAAGACTGGATAGTAAATATTTTAGGTTTGTGTGCCATACTGTCTCTTTTGCAGAAATTCAACTCCATCATTGTAGTGCAGAAGCAGCCAAAGACAAATAAATGAAAGTAACTGTGTTCATAAAACTTTATTTAGGCCGGGCATATGGCTCATGCTGGTAATACTGGGAGTGGCAAGTGGATTGCGTAAGTCCAGGAATTCAAGACCTGCCTGAGCAAGAATGAGACCCTGTCTCTACTAAAAATAATAATAATAGAAAAATTAGCATGGTGTTGTGGTGCCCGCCCATAGTCCTAGCTACTGTGGAGGCTAAAACAAGAGGATTGCTTAAGCTCAGGAGTTTGAGGTTGCTATGACCTATGACACCACAGCACTCTAGCTTGGGACAACAGAGTAAGACTCTCTCTTAACGCCCCCCCAGCCCAACTTTATTTAGAAAAACAGACGGTAGATCATAATTTGCCAGTGAATTTCAATTTAAAATGCCATATATAGAAATTCTCTGAATTTTCTAGTCAATTTTTCTGTAAATGTAAAACTCCAAAAAAGTATTAAATTTTTTTTAATATGTCACTAGGAATATAAACAATTTAGAATGAAGTAATGATCAAAACCTTCAAGACACCTACCTTTTGGCTTTTACTAAGTGATAAATCTACTAGATGAGTAAATCATAAGTATCACTGTCATGTATGCTTATAGAGGGTCTCAGACTGTTCTCATTTTATCTTTGTAAAAATTACTCATTGACTAAAACAAAAAAGAGTGACATGCATTATCACAGTTGGTAACACAGACACCTTCAATATGTGGGAGAATTGCTAGGGAAATTGCTGATTTGAATGATTTCCTTAGTTGAACAGAAAATAATTCCTAAAGAATTTTTAACTATGTTACTATTCTATTCTAGATATAGTAATTATTTTCTTTGAATATTCCTTCCTACAGTATTTACTTCTCTTTTATAAAAGTATGCTTGTGAATGTCAGTTAAAATATTTACAGTTATTGACAGTAATACCCATGTAACTCATGTAACAATTCATTAGTTTGAAAAATTAATTTTGACTAATGTGTTTTTGCAGTTGTATAAGTTTAAATGGATTTTTCTGGGGTTTTCAGCTTAAATATGAATACAATGCATTTATTTACTTTAAAATTTTTCATTGTGAAATATAGAGAAAAGTACATAACATGGATGTTCAAGCTGGGTGCAGTGGCTCACTCCTGTAATCCTAGTACTCTGGGAGACCCAGGTAGAAGGATCAACTTGCTATCAGGAATTCGACACCAGTCCCAGCAAGAGCAAGACCAGACACTACAAAAAATAGAAAAAATTAGCTGGGTATGGTGGCCTGTGCCTATATAGTCCCAGCTACTCGGGAGGCTGAGGCAAGAGTTTGAGGTTGCAGTGAGGTATAATGGTACCACTGCACTTTAGCTAGGGCAGCAAAGTGAGACTTTGTCACAAAAATGCAAGCAAACAAACAAAACTAACTACCCCAAACCACACAGATGTTCAGTTTAATAAATTGTTATAAAGCAAACATCAATGGAACTACCATAGCAAGTCATGATGTAGAGCCCTGCCACTGTTCAGAAGCCCCTTATATGACCCTCTCCAATTACAACTCCTTCCTTTTACCCTCATAATCCTAATATTTTCATTGCTCATTTCTTTTTTTTTTTTGGAGACAGAGCCTCAAGCTGTTGCCCTGGGTAGAGTGCTGTGGCATCACGGTTCACAGCAACCTCCAACTCCTGGGCTCAAGTGATTCTCCTGCCTCTGCCTTCTAAGTAGCTGGGACTATAGGTGCCCACCACAACACCGGCTGTTTTTTGGTTGCAGCCGTCGTTGTTTGGCAGGCCTGGGCTGAATTCTAACCCACCAACTTAGGTGTATATGACTGGCACCTTAGTCGCTTGAGCCACAGGCGCCAAGTCATTGTTCATTTCTTTTTAGTTTTATCAACTAAATGTGTAGTTCTAACTATAGTCCAGAAAGTAAAAAGGAAGAGGAGACAGAGGGGAGGGGAAGGGGTATCTGGAAGGAGGGAGGGTATTTGGGGGGACCATACCTAATATGCATAATGCAATGGTACATTTCAAAACTATTAAGAAATAAATATAATTGTGATGGATGAGTTACTTAGTTCAATATAAACATTTCACATTGTATATCAAAGCAGTACTCTGAACCCCATAAATGCATCAATGTACAAAGGCATGATTTAATAAAAAGATAATTAAAAAATAAATGTGTTGTTCTAAACAATACAGTTTAATTTTGGCTTGGCATCTCTAGCTCAGTGATTAGGGTGCCAGCCACATACACCAAGGTAGGTGGGTTCGAATCCTGCCCAGGCCTGCTAAACAACGACAGCTGCAACAGAGTAATAGCTGGGGGTTGTGGCGGGCACCTATAATCCCTGCTACTTGGGAGGCAAGAGAATCACTTGAGCCCAACAGTTTGAGGTTGCTGTGAGCTGTGACGCCATGGCACTGTACCAAGGATGACAAAGTGAGACTCTGTCTCAAAAATAAATAAATAAATAAATATATAGTTTAATTTTGTCTATTTTTAAATTTTGTATTATGGATAGAATCATACCATATGAATTCTTTAATGTATGCTAATACTTTAATACTGTATTCATTTTCGCCCTTCAACAATAAAAGTAGCCAAAGTAGACTGAAGTAATGGCATATGAGCTGTGTTCAAACCTGTCTTCAGTAGAACTGCTCCATGTGTGATCTGTCACGTTTGGTGCCTTTTCTTGCCTTTTAAACACATTTTCTACCATGCAGAAAGAACACTGTTGTAGGTGCCTATTGACAGTTATGGCAGGTGATGAAAGGTATAGCACTTGGCATTGAAAACAGATTTCTCAACATCCTTTAAGACTTTTTGTCACCCTGCAAATTTTCTGGTGATAGGATTTTTCTGTATTTTATAAAAATTAGTTACAAAGATTCTAATAAATGTGAATGTTAATGTGTATATATAGTAGTGTACATGTGTGCACAAAAATACTTGTGTTCCCCACTGCAAGAAACACTTTAGTCACCTAAAACATTTGTTTTTATGGAAATAATACTTTGTTTTTCAGGTGAAACTTCCACCGATGATGGAAATCATAACTGCTGAGCAGCTGATGGAATATTTAGGTTAGTGTTGAAAAGTGGATGATTTTCTATCTCTTTCAAAATAAAACAAAGTTTTCAAAGCTAATATATGACCCAATCTCACCTTTCTGAAGTGTTACTAAGTAATCTATTTTAAAATTATAGGATCTGTTAACAATTTTTTATCAGTATATTACTGTTCTTGAGTGTTATAGTCTTCTTACTGACCAGTAACAAAATTCTCTTATATAAATAAGGAAATAGGGTGACATCCAGAAAACAAGACACATATTTCAGTAAATTATAGAATGGAGATGCCACAGAGCCTCTGACATTGCATGTAGAAGGTATTCAAAAATATTGGGTAGACTTGAATTAAAGACAAAGGAAAAAAAGGAAGTGATTTAAAGCATTGCTACCCATGGTATGATTTGTGGACCTGTGCTAATGTGTGAAATGTGATCAGTCTGTAGTGAGATAGGAGCGTGTACTAGGATATAAAAGATTTATATTGGTAAGCATACTATTTAGTTCATTTGAATTTTTTTTTTTTTTTTT